ACCACACCTCCCAGTTTGGTGTCATCAGCAAACTTGCTGAGGGTACACTCTAACTCTTCATCCAGGTCGTTGATGAAGAAGTTGAACAAGGCTGGGCCCAGTACTGACCCCTGGGGGACACCACTAGTTACCAACCTCCAACTAGACTCGGCACCGCTGAAAGCTGTAGCTCTGTGAAAGTTGACTCTGCTGGTATGATCTGGGAGCAGACGTACAAAGCACCGTATTTTTACAGAAGATATAACCTATAAAAAGAGAAAGACACATCTTATCCACTCCGCCCTCCTTGGCAGTGGATGTATCAGAGCAGGTAATGTAAGGGAAAGTCCACTGTGCAGCCCCATCCCTTCCAGCCTCTCCTCGTACCTCCCTTACCTCTGAGCTCTTTTTCTCCCTACTCCCCTGTCCTGGTTTCAGCTGGGAGAGAGTGCTGTGTTTTGGATTTAGTACAAGAAGAATGCTGATAACACTGATGTTTTTATTTGTTGCTAAGAAATCAAGGACTTAGTCCAGTCTCCCATATTCAGCTAATGCAGGAGCTGGGAGGAAGCATAGCCAGACAGCTAGCCCAAGCTGGCCAATGGAAATATTCCATACCACAGATGTCATGCTCAGTTTATGAATGGGGGTTGGATGGGAGCAGGATGCTTTTTAATCTTTTCCGTGAGTTCGAATCCTCTCTGGAGGATTCCACTTTTCTGGGAGTTCGGTCTTTTTCGAGATTTTTGCAAAATTTGCGAAATCTGTGAGTTCTGCGTTCCACACTCACTGTTCAGGGACCGGCTGTGAATCAGTGTTCAGGCAGTGAGAAAATTGTATTGTATATAGTTTGTCTTGCATATTCATTATTAGTAGTATTAGTAGTAGTATTGGTATTTCCTTCGTTGCCTATAAACTATCTTTATCTCAACCCATGAGCTTCCCTTTCTGTCCGTTTCTCTTCCCCATCCCTCTGGGGGGGAAGAGGTGAGTGAGTGGCTGTCTAGTGCTTAGTTGCTGGCTGCTGAGTTAAACCAAAACAGTCCTTTTTTGGCACCAGACATAGGGCACCAGCAGCCAGCTGGCACACACCCCAGCACTGAAAGGCTGGAAAATCCGCATATCTCTGATCATCTGTGAATAAAAGACTCCTAATAGCAGCAGCAGCAGCACATCGCATGGTTACTCCATCACTTAAGCTGTTCCTTGGGCTCTGTCTCTCCAGTTCTCTGCCCACCATTCCCCAAAGCCTGGCTCTGCTTTCCCAGTAATTCCAGTTTCTCTTTATCCTTTGAACCCCAAAGCAAAGGAAGGGAAGGTTCACAAAGGCAAACAAGCCATATTTAACTAATTGTTGGCTAAATGTCAATTACAGCTTGACAACAAATGCAGCAGGGTGGAATCTTCCAGCTGATCTACAACTGTAGGATATAGTTTAAAAGAAAAAAAAATAGAAAGAAAGAGAAAGAGCAAAATGGATTGTGCAGCAAACACAATGGAAATTTACAGCTTGGACTTCAACCATGACTTGAACATACATCTTCGGTGGCTTGGGTGAGTTATTTCATTTCCTGGTGCACTAATTTCCCCACCTACAATGCATAGATAATATGTAACAAATGCTGCTGTTTCAAAGCATGTCTCAATAATCTCTGTAATGAGGTTTTTTAATGGAAATTGCTGTAAAACTGTGAAGAATAAGACATACACATAGGGTCAGCACAATATGTTAATACCCTTTTTAATGATTCATTAGTGTTTAAGATTTGACTGATACGCCTGTAGCAATAGTGCAGAAAAAGAGGCAAATATATGTGCAGACTGCTGCTACCACCAGAACACAGCAGCAGTGAGTGTGGCAGTGCAGTGAAGCAGGAGACAGCTAAAAATCAGACCACTCCAGGTACCACTTCGGTATCTACAAACAGGACCAACTGGAAAATGATCAGGGCAAAAAGGTTCTTTAGTTTCAGTGATTTTTCAGTGAAGATAATGAAGCAAATGGGCTGGCAGGAGGGAGCTTTTAGCTATTTCGCACTTAGTGTGAGCATCCCTGTAGATTTGCTCCAGCCTTGTAGAAGCCAGGTTAACCAACTCAAAACAATGGTTCGGTGTCAAGTGATACCACTCTCTGTTTCTCTATGCTACCATCAAGGAAAACACCTCTTTTTCCATTCACCGTTCTAGGTTTCTTTAAGTAGGATGGCTGAGTGGTATAGACAGATAAAGGCACAATAATTCAGTTTGCTTTTTCCTATTCTGTGTCTAATCTAACTGAACCAATAAAGCCTCCAAAACTGCATTTACTTATAGGCATATAGGTAACATTCAGTAACATAATGGACTGGATTGTTCAGTATGTATTCATTAAACTTAGAGAAGAAGTTAACACCAAATATTCCTTCAAAGAGAAAAAAAAAGTTGTGAATTATATGGGTTTATATTGGTAAAGATGATTCGGGGAGGGGGGGGGGATTTAATCTAAAAGGCTTTCCCAAATGTAGAAGAGTAA